CCACTTCCTTGTAATTTGTTCTTTTTCTAAAATGGTTCTTATAGAATACTTCTCCTTGTACTTGTGTCAGGAGTATCCGTGCAAATCATTCTTTCCATTTAGTTCATATTGTACCCTAGTTTTATAGAATTTGAGTTTTAATTATGATTATGTTGCCATGTCGGTATTTTTTATGTTTTTTCGATGACTCACTGATATCAAACCGTATGGCTGCTAATAATTGATTTAGATACACATCCCAAGATGTTAGGTCTTGATAGTTTTTTTAGGCAAGATATAATGTAGGGTTCTAGGAAACCTTTCCACTTTTGCGTTATTCTGTGGAATAAAGAAATTTTAACGTGACTTATATTAAGACTTTCTAACACATATTTTACAACCCTGTTGTCATTTTCCGTCCCTTTGTCAGGAATTATTTGTAAGAGTCCTATATCTCGACAATTTTTCGTCAAACACAAAATAGCAATATTTTCTACCAACTTGTCAGGCACTGCAAATACTTCTGGCCAACCACTATGAATATCAACAAAAGTCATAATATATCTGTTTCCCGGTAAAGTCTTTGAGTATGGACCTGAAAAATACTATTATTAGCAAACATATATGATAGTATATCTGTGTCTTGTAATGAATGTTTTCTTTTCTTAAGGGTAGGAGGTCTGACATATTACAAAACCATACTCATGGAGCTGCTTATACAAATTTAACCGAAAATAGTTTTTGTTGAATGGCGTCAAATGTTTTTTCTATGCCTACATGTCTATTTTCCTGATGATATTGTGTGACTACTTTTTGTCTAACATGTTCTGGTATATACAACCTTAGCACTGGTTCGTCATCTGGTCCAGAAATACAGTACTGTATGTCTTCTTTTATTAGATAGCTTTTAGCTTTATCCTCCTCAAATTGTCTTTTGATTTCCTTTACTTCCTCATCTTTTAATTGCTCGGCCTTAAGTCAAACTCCTGCAAGTTTTAAACAGCTTTTTCTAAGACATCTGGAGAAGGTAATTTACTGCTTGCAAATTATTTATGTTAAAATTGATTAGAATTAAGGGTTCAGATTTCAAATGCCTTGTCACGTTTTATCTGGTTCATATAAAGTTTCATTTGAAATGGCAATAGTACACCCTGTGGTTTGCATGATAAAAGATCAGCACACATATCTTATGGTCCAGCTGTGTATTCTATTTTGCTATTTCAAGCAGCTTTTTCCAAAGGCCAAGCTTGCATATTTTTATTTTGCATGGAACCTGAGAAATTTTAACGGTATGTGATCCTTTTTATAAAACATTCTGTATTGTGCAAATAATGATCTAACTTCTGCATGGCATCGTAGATAGTAAAAACTTCTTTTTTTTTACAGTGGACTACCGTGTTTATGTTTCCGACAGCCCATGAAATAAATAGTATTTGTCTCCCTTTGTTATCTCGTGTTTGTGCAAGACAAGCCCCTATACACGTTTCACTGGCGTCTGTATACAGAGTACATGGTTCGGTAATGTCTTTGTACGTAAGCACTGGTAAACAGCCACCTATTTTTCAGGAGTCCATTTGAATCTATCGGACTTTTTTGTCAAATTGGAATAAATTGTTTGCAGTTACTACACACGCTTATAAATATATGAACTTCTCTGACAGTTTTTGGGATTGACATTACTCGTATGATATTAACTTTGTCTGGATCAGGTTTAACACCATTTTGGTCAATCAAAAAACCAAGATACTTCATTTCACGTTGAACAAAATTACATTTTAAATTATGCTCTTTTAATCTGTCAAAAATTTGTTGATTGTATTTCAAATATTTTTTCCAGGAATGACGAAACTATTAAAATGTCCAAATATGCAATACCAAAGTCCACATAACGCTGTAGTTTTCTATGCATAAGTTCTTGAAACACAATAAGGAGAAACACAATAAGGAAATTAGATAACCCAAATAACATTACATTGAACTCAAATAAACCTTTATGACAAGCAAATGCCGTTTTCTCCTTGTTCTTACTGTCCATGGCTACTTGGTAACAGCCTGATTATAAATTTAGAGTTGTGAAGTATATTGCCTACGAAAGCCAGAATATCATCAATCAGCGATAAAGGGTATGAGGTTTTGTTTTTTGTGTTCTTTTTTTCTTCTTCTTCGTCTTCTTCTTCTTCTTCTTCTTCTTCTTTTTCTTCTTTTTCTTCTTCATTTGTTTTTTGTTTTGTTGTTGTTGTTGTTGTTGTTGTTATTGTTGTTGTTGTTGTTGTTGTTGTTGTTGTTGTTGTTGTTGTTGTTGTTGTTGTTGTTGTTGTTGTTGTTGTTGTTGTTTAATTGCTAAAATCACACAAAATTGTTTTCAGCAGTTTTTTGTCGACTATTACAACTGAGAACTCCAAGGTGAGGTAGATCTACTTAATGACATTTGCTTCAAGCATTTCATTGACAGCTTTGTCGATTACTTCTCTTTTTTTCAAGCAGTATTCTGTAAGGCCTCGTCTAAATTGGGTGATGATTCCCTGTGTCTCTCGTCATTTCTTCAGCTGTTGTAATACCTAAATCAGAATCAGTCTGAGCAAGATGTTCTTGGTTCTTGAAAAGTATATCAGATACAATCATTCGTGATTCCGCCGTCACATGAAGTTCATTTTCCATACTTATTGGTTCAAGTTTGTTAGAATCTTTGCTTTCAATCACAGAACATACAGACACTACGTTTTGTTCTAGAATACATTCAATCTTACCCATTGCACAGTCCCTTTTTTATCTTTACTGTCTTATTGGTATAGTTAATAACCATGAGTGGTATTCTAAAATTATCGTTTACCTTGACTATAGGGTATGAGATCATTAACCCTGGCTCATCTATTGTAGATACTTAAAATGCTGTATCCTTTAGGTATTCTATAAGTTTAACTTTACCTTTCACAAACCATTACAGTGTAATGTTTTAATACTACATATGTACTATTTCAAATTACTGACGAAATGTGATGTCTTCTTCTAATGGCCCATATGTCTTCTTAAGTCTTCGACAGACTATACTAAAATATAAGCGAACTCCATGGTCTTGTAACCAATTCTTTTATTACATCAAATTTATGCCTTACATCCTCATTTCCAACTTTGATAGTCAGGGTTGTCACTCCACCAATGTTTACTGAACTACCATTAAAAGACTGTAAGTGAATTTTTGCTTTGTCAGCTTCGGAGGATCTTTTAGTCTCCGATATACCATTCTATGAATCAGCGACAACTCTATTCCCGAATCCACTAATGATCTAAACTTTTGTTTTCCACTTAAATTAAGATGGAATCAGGATTATATGCTAAGTATATTTTAAATATACTTTTTTGTTTTAACCTTCTTCCGACAGTGACCTCGCAATGACAGGAGATAATTAGCTGTGAACACCTATCTCTCTTATATGATTCGGAAATATTAATGGTACTGCCCCTTTGTAAAGAAATATATTATCTGTTTCTCTATTGCGGAGTTTGGTTGTTCTACTCCTTCGAACGCGTCAGATATTATATCTAACAACATTTCACAAAAAGTCTTCGTTTTCGTCTCTAAACTGAAGAGCTAACGATTTCTTTAATCTCTACAAAGATTCCATCTTAACCTCTTTATTGACCCATTGAATGCTCTTGCCAATGACATAAAATACAATACGTAGTTACTAACCCCAAAAATCCCGATATTCCTTTTGTTCCTTCATACTGTTACTGCTGAAGAAGTAGACACGATAAGACCCACTATATGCGACTACTGAAGTTCCGTAAATAGGTACTTGTATACCCGAAACTTGAGAAATATTCCCGTTTTCGTGCAATCTGCTTAAATTAAGAAGCATTTCTTCCACCAGTATCCAGCAACACGGAACCTTTAGGAGCCTTTAGGAGCCTTCCTTCATATTATGACATTTATTATAGTCACATACCAAGTTACTTTTTGACAGATTTAAAAAATCTGCAGTACAAAATGAAACGGAACGCCATTTTCAGTTTGTATCGTTACGGCGTTGTCCATATTATGATTGATAACAATCGAGCTCTGAGTGTCGCAACCAATTAAAATCGTTTCCGTATATACAACACTAGTAACATATGCGAAAATATAACATGGGCGAACTCATCGGATAACATATATTATATACATGTTAAATGCTGATTTCAAAATGTATGAACATATCATATTACATTTTTTTTTACCAATAAGGATAAATATAAGGTATTCCTGTTAGTATTGGTTTCGGATTTATCTCGAACGAATGCTGCATTTCTGATAAAACATTGAACAACGTCATCAAAATGAATGAAAGACTATTGGCAAACATACCGGTTCAGCCAACAGTACCAAATTATATACCAAATTCTAAATATCAAGTAAAACATGATATGAAACATTACAAAACTGAAATTACTGTTATTTCGATCAATAAAACGAAATGCATGCGTAAGTTAAACCATATACTGTATTAAAAAAGAAACTAGACCACAAATAATTTTCATTTTGAGTCAAGTCAAAACTCGATCTTAAGGTTTTACGATCAATATAAACTCTATGAGTCGACTTTTAACGTCAAACATAAAATCCTGTAATGGAGATTGCAATTATTGACGACAATACAAGTCTGAGTAAGATATCTGATATCTGTATACACAATTTGTTATGACTACATTGTAACATACAGTCAATTAAATGGAACAGAGCACGTTTTCTATGGAACTCTTTTTGAAAATGGGATACTAATCATACTGATATATCCTTTTAAACCTTATCAAAGTAAGTTCACGCATTATAGTGTTTAAAAGTCGCCATTTACATAAGAATGTACAATATACTTCAAACTTCAGTCGGTAACACAATTTCCATGTACATTTGCAATGCTTTTTGATTAACATTAAGATAAGACACAGCAAAACACGCGAAGAGATATTTACATCACACTGAGATTTCATTTCATCGTGATTTCGTCTTCGTCTGATTATGCACGGATCCATATTCAGTAGCATCATTCGGATAAATCATGGCTTTCCAAAAGACTGTAATTCGTCTCCGTTCCTCGCTGCTTCAGGTTCCTCAAAAAAGAAACCAACATCCAGAGGTGTGTGATTGCGAGCAGGATTGAGACAAGCACTACTGCAAATCCCATTACCAACAGGCCGATGCCTTGGTCCTTTATCTTGATCATGGTATGTATTTCTCCGATACTTGTAATCTGATGCATTTGCTGAGCAAAAGGACTTAATGCTACACCCAACAGCAAAGCTGAAATAAGATTTTTAAAAATCTTACAAAATTCAGCATGGAACTGAAAAAACAGACGATAGCTACAAGGTAGATGGTATGAAGGTTTAACTAATAACATAAATCGATGTGAAAGTAGCACATTGCTAAGATGACTTTTTTCGTTATTGCATGCTATTAATTCTGCAATATTGTTATGGAAAAGACTATCACCAATTCATTCTACCATATTTAATTTTAGACGAAATTGTCACATACACTTCTCTTTAATACAGCTCCCAATATTCCCAAAGAAAACATCTGTTCTGAAGCTTACAGAGGACCTCTGCGAGCTTGAAAGTAGGTCACGTCAATGTTTTTAAGAAACATGACAGTCCTTTCTCTCAACATTCTTCACAGCCAATGTTCAAGCCCTGTGCTATTGAGAAAATGGCGTTTGGAGATTTTAACACATTTTAGTCCTGTGCATTAAACTTAAACAAAATTGGAAGGTGTTCAAATCGCAATGTTAAAACGTCAATATCAGTACATAGGGTCTTCCGGTGTTTGAAATCAAAAAGAGGATAAAGAGCGGGGGGGGGGGGGGTATTTTTATCTAGAATTCAAGTAGTAAATCATCACTGGAATTGAAATGAATAAAGCTATTTTGCATTTTTGTATTTCTTTACATCATATAGCTAAATAAGTTTGCGAAATCTATAATAGAAATCATTTATAGATAAGTGAGATTATAACTACATCCAAAACAAGTAGGAAATTTTAGTAGACACAAGATTAGGTTTTATTGATGCAGTATATTTGAAACATATTTTTATCTATGAAGAATGTACTTCTATAAGTTGTAAGCAGTTTACACATTCCATCATTGAACTTTTGTTCTGATGATAATTGTTTTAGATTGAAGAAAAGTCATTTAAAAGCAAAACATCGATATGTTGCTGCACTTGCATTTGCGGTAGAATATGTGTTACCACAGATACTAGTTAATTTTCACATATCATTCTTATTTGTTCCTGAATAAGATATTTTCTTCCTATTGTTTTGTCTCTCATCAAAAGTTAAAATTATAATACTTCGATATTAATAGTAAATAATATAAAAACTGCTAAATATTCAGCTGATTTCCACAAACCTTGGATTGTGTGACATAAAGTCAGCCAAAGCAGGGTTAATGGTTGCGCCTTGGTGCCATTCCCTCTCCTAATCGTGCTCATACACTTTAATACGAACGCAAGGCATGCGAATATCAGAGATATGGCCATTTCAAGTTCAACCCGAATATACATAGTCCTTATCAAATCTGAAATACATATGAATATATAAGCAAATCTGGTTGACTTATCTTCATTTTAAAGGGAATACATGTTAAATTATTTTGGTAAATGTAAGCAATGACATTCCCAGAATAGCATAATTCTCGGAATGTACAGATTGCGATCTCTAGCCTACACATGTCATATTTCGTTTTCAAAATTATTTAGCAAACGTTGCAAATTATGAAAAAAAGAAAATAAATGATCAAGATATCTTTAACTGCTTAGGAGTAAATTAGAAAGTATAGGGGGAATGATATGTTACAAATTGCATATTTTTAAAAACATGATGAGAATATCATTTGTCGGTCGTTACTTGCAAGGACACCAGCGGCGTTTTCCTTCATACCCATGCTGTGCATTTGAGCTTTTACTAGGTTAAAGTTGGTTTTGATGATATCTGCTAGAGTGCCATAGTTGCCTTCCAATGTGAATGGTAGCGGAGCTGTCGTTCTGATTTTCATACGGAAAATTCCGATAGACATACTCATTTGAAAGTCACTTGGGACGTCGTGTAGTAGAGTCGTGGCAGGGATATTTGCTGGTGCACTTTGTTCCGAACTCATCTTTGCCATAAGTGGCTGGATTTGAGTCATATTAAAGCACATTGTGTAGCTGATCAAAGACGGCACGAAAATGATAACAATGGTAAAAAGAACGGTTAATGCTGAGCAAATACACAAAACCGCTACTGATTTGGTCGCCATCTTTGTTTCTTCCTGGTTGTTAGCAGCTGTAGAATCTGAATACTGATATCAAGGTAATATTCTATATTTAGATATACCTCACTTCTGGTAATCCACCCGACTGCGCCCGACAAGCATTATATTAACATAATTGCCATTTTCGTTTCTTTGTTTAAAACTTCCTTGGGTTAGCAGCTACATAATGAAATGTTGATATCAAGGTAATATTCTATATTTAGATATACCTCACTTCTGGCAACACCCGACTGCGCCCGACAAGCATTACATTAACATGATCGCCATTTTCGTTTCTTTGTTTAAAACTTCCTTTGGTTAGCAGCTACATAATGAAATGTTGATATCAAGGTAATATTCTATATTTAGATATACCTCGCTTCTGGCAACACCCGACTGCGTCCGACAAGCAGTACATTAACATGATTAAAGTGTTAAACAATAAGCCACTACGACAAACATATGTTTAAAGAGAAGTTCGCCACCATAAAATCAATATATATATATATATATAAATCATAATATTCCAATAAAGATCTTACAAGTTTTCACATAGTGGTGTATGTGAGTTTAACGCATCATCGACATAGCATGACTATTGTGGTTATAAACAGTTCACAGCACACACATACATAAACAACCAGATACAATGTATAGTTGATGTCTTGCATGGGACACCTGCAATATCAACACACGTAATGTTCTTAAAATATCGGTGAATATGCCATATAAAAAATATCAACAACACATAGATATTTACAGAAATATCTATAAAATCATGCAAGTTAATTCTTTCATCATCAATGGACTTTTCCGTGATGGAGGATACTTAATGGCGTCTCATTAAATGCCGAATATATTTCACGAGTATGATTTAGATACTATGTTTTACGAATGAGGAGTACGAGTGAAATATACTAGATTCTTAACGGGAAACCATTAAGTTGATGTTTAAGGCTTTCCAAACATGGAAAACCAACTGATTGAACCTTGGATCCATTTGCATCCGGACAGGAAAATCGGCGAAATTCAATAGGAATAATTAAGGGGCGTTTCAATAGCATTTAGTTGTAAACAAAGTACGTTCCCAAATTCTATTTTACATCAGTATTTATCTTGTTTATTTAAATTTATCTATTTTTAAATTAACTATTGAATGCACATTATATTGGTAATAATCCCTAATGGTATTTTAAGATAATTTAGTTTCGAGGTCAACATGCTTCTTTCAACAAGTCACGTTACATACACTGCACACCATTAACACAAATTCTATTCATACGATATAATTAGAACACGCTACATGCCTGGACGATAGGTAATTGCTTCATACAGTTTAGTGTACATGTGCGGCATGGCAGATTACTCTGTAACATGTCGATGCCTTTGATTTTCTGAATTAGTACCCAGTCTACACGACCTAATTATATAGATCTATATCACCGATCAGTTTAGGATGATTACTGAATTTGTGACCTATTTTACAAACATGCGAATTTCGTGGCTAGTATCAACGAAACAGTTTTTCGTTGTCGTCTGCTAATACTACACACAGTCGCTGTGTACACTGTCTACTTAATACATTCATTCAGGTTGGTTTTGTCTGTTGGAACGTTTCAAGTCTTTTCAACGGGGGTTGCCAGTCTAAGCATTGATATCTTACCAATTCAAAGAGGAAATTAGGATTGGGTATATTGAGTTAACATCACATAACCAATTGCCTTAAGAAAAATTTGTGGATGGCCCTATAAAATGCCATCACCGCCCATCAGTTTTTTTATATCGTTATTTCGTAATACTTTTCTTGTATAGTTTCAACAGTAGTCATTGCCTACAGTTAGCATACCTAATGTAGGCAAACTGAATGGGCAAAACAGGTGTCCAACGAACATTCAAATCCATTGATTATATTTCGCAAAAAGAATGAATGAAAACGTAGGAATGATAGCATGTCAAGTTGTACGATGAGATAAACATCTGATATTACTGTTTTGTTACTGTTTTTATTTTTCCGTCTCTATTACAGTAATATGTTGATGACTTGTGCAAAGTGGTTGATGCATGTATTTGTAAGCATGAAAATAAAAACACAAAAACACGACCGCTTAATCTAATTTTATTTTATAAACAAATAATTCTTTTGAAACAATCACATCTATGGTTTATCGTTACATTATAGGTAGTTTGTTGACTTGATATCTAAAACCAGATAAATATTAATAACCAGATACATATGTATAACCAGAGAAATGCCATATCACTGTCGAAACCATTTTATCGCTGGAGTCAGCTACCAATGAAAAAAAAAGAAAAAAATATTTGCATGTTACGAACCCATTTTGACAATACTGCAATAAAACACCAAATAATGGTTAAAAGATATATGTCAATCTTTTATATAAGAAACATCAATCTGCTCTCTCTCTCTGTCTGTCTGTCTCTGTCTGTCTCTTTCTGTCTGTGTGTCTCTGTACCCCTCCACCACCACCTCTCTCTCTCTCTCTCTCTCTCTCTCTCTCTCTCTCTCTCTCTCTCTCTCTCTCTCTCTCTCTCTCTCTCTCTCCCCCTGCCCAGCAAACAACAGCAGCAACTTACTACAATTGAGAGTAAAGACCTTATCTAAAACGTAATTTGTATATATATATACATCTGTCCTTGATGAAGCAAATCAACACCGGCGTTGTGTTACTATTATCAGTTTTCATTAAGATAAAGTGTCCGCTGATTAACAGTGGTTAAATAAAAGCTGTTATCAGTATGCTTTTATATGTCCTTTTTTCTTTTAATAGTTTATATTCACTGTTAACACACGTTTCCTGTTTTATCAGATAATGTTGTTATGGAATGAAAAAAATTTAAGAAGATATTTTATATGTGACTCAATATCGGTGTCCTTGAAATTGACAGGTGGCACCAATACTGAGTCTGATAATGAAAACAGTGCTACACCATTATCATTTATGTTTGAAATGAAAGCGTACAAAAATAGATTTAAATACTACAGGCAAATGTTTTATGCAGTTAACACGAACTATAACAGAAGACACTATTTTCTGAGAACATCTAGTCTTATTCTTGAGAATTTTAAAGGACCTTCCTATATTTTTTGCCCTTTTTGCCATCATTTACTTGATTTCGGGATTCAATAATGATTTTGTTGATATGGCAGAATTCTTCTGTTTGTTTCTTCATTTTCAAACTCCTACAATAATGTGTGATTATGAACAAATCTACAGAAACCTACTTCTTTGTATCTGTTTAATTGATGTAGGTAAATTCGCAATTACACCAACTGTTAAACAGCGTGATATTTCATATTACAAATATCCTAGTATTTCCAACCTCCAAAATGTGAGGAACGGACAGAGGAGTTTCATAAGTGTATTATAAAGAAAGAAAACAAGAGATTTAGGAATATATTGTTAACTTTTTTCAAAAAAAAAAAATATATTTATATATAAATATTTGCAAGAATTCTATAACATCAGGGCAACTTTTGACAACACTCCAAGGCACAGGCATAGTTAGTGTTACTCGAGTATATATTAGAGCTAAGCACAGGCTGTTCATTTTTTAAGTCTTTGTTTCTTTCCAAAAAAGTACGATATCGATTACCATTTCTCCTACTGGGAAAAGACAAAACATGAAATTTATAAAAGTGTATTATTCCATGCACTGACAAAAAACCTTTGCAAATATACACCAAAGTAAGCATATAATACTAATAATAAGATGAAATTCGAAGATGGAAAGGCCAAATTAAAAAAGAACATGGAAAAATATATGCTATATGTATTTCTGGTATTTTGCATCTGGAATCTCCGAAAATTCACCAAAATATAAGCCACGCTATTAAAGATACAATATATGTGTTTATGTCACTTTAAAAAAACAATGCGACTTTATCATACTTAAACATTAACCTTTATTTCAATTTAGAAATTAGTCACTTACGTAAAATTATATAGATCTTGATTTTCCCTCTCTGTATATATACATATTTTCATTTTTTTCTTTTTGTTTTTTTGTTTTTTGTTTGTTTTTTTTTTTTTTTTTTTTGTAAAAATATCGCGCATGCAGCACACAGCCAAGTCATGAAAAAACTATATATGTTATCTACTACAAATACCAGAAGCATCAACGGCCGATTTAGCACAATTATGCTTCTAATCTGTCGTGTAAATCCCTTATCACTTGATATGATTAAAATGTCATTGATTTGCATTTTTAGTTGATCACATGCTTGGAAGCCAGGGAGTGTCACTGTTAATTACTTTTGATACACATGACAATCCGTACGTTGTACAAACCATTTTTGTGAATCACTTTCAACATTCTAGGTTTCAACTCGCAATATTGTTGCAATGCAGCTAAACATCATATTCACCACTGAGTTTAAAGTTTTCTCTAGGCGGATATGCGAGCTGGTCTTCACTTTTGCCAAAACGTTTGTAAGATTCATTTGGATGAAACAACATCCGGAAGTGTGCAACTGCGAGAAAGACTGAAGCAAGTACCATAAAAAATCCCAACACAAGTATCCCGTATTCTTTGTCACTTATCTTCAAGATAGCGTATATATTTGCCATAGAAGAAATCTGTTGTAGTTGTTGTGCGAAGGCTCCTAATGCAACGCCCAACAGAATTGCTGAAAGAAAAATCGAAATAGTATGGAAATCAGAATGGACAATATTCAATAGAAAATTGAATTGCTGAGAAGGTCCACAATGTTAATATTTTTCATAGTTATATTTAATGATGCATTAGAAGGAGATTTAAGCAAATGATAAACACGATCTTTCCCTAGCTTCAGGATAGCAGAAGCAAAGCTGTACCCGTGGAGAAGATTCACGACAGTCTAACACGAGGCTCTGACGCCTCTTGTCTCAAATTACAACTTCCGGTCCGATGAGGTAGAAACCGCTGTGTTATTCTTTAACACTGTTACACTTTCACATTTGAATTTTTTTTTATTTATTTCGGAAGAATGGAGAGAGTTTATAGCAGCGGAGCAAACATGCCATCCGCTATTGCTAACATGAAGGGAAAGGGCGTTAGATTGCAAGAAGGGATATTATGGAACTAAAAATATTAGAGAGACAGTCAATCATTTGTTTTATGACCTGTCTTCAGGACTGTTATGAAGAAAAATGTGGAATTATATCATCATTCAGTTAATCAGGGGGGGGTCTATGACGGCCAGTGGTTGTCTATCGACGTCGTGATAACTTCAGTGTAGGCATAGCTCAGCGAGTAGCTAACTTGTTAAAGGCATATTCACGACTTGATTAATATGTTAACCCGTCGGTGATGGCTTGTTTTGGTAAATATAGGAAATGTTTTAACCCTAACGAACACTAAAAATTAACGATATGGACTTGTTTGCGGTTTAGTAAAGTGGAATATGATATGGTGTATGAACACTTACCTAGATAATATGGAAAGAGTATATGTTATGATAATTGTAAAGGTCAGAAAAATAAATTCAATAACAAGGAAATAAAGTTGCTTAAAATGATAACATCGAGTCCCCGTAATCTTAATATCGATAACGGGCCTCAGAGCTTCAATAATTCAAATTTGCTAGCCTTTTTAAGCTTTGGTAATATATCTATGCCACCGACTAAGAGAAAATTTGAATTTAACGTATTAATCATTTCATTCTGTATTTTCAGCCATTAAGATTACTTTTACAGAAAATTTGTATTGATTAACTATAAAGACTTTATGATTGATGAAGATGTTACAGTGTATATGTCCATTTCCCTTCTCTAACTCGTTTCCACCCTTCAGGACTTTGGGATGTCTTGATGTTAGTGTCATGTCATAGGACTGTTTAAAGATCTTCATGATATGCATATAGGGCGTAAAACTTCTTTCCGAGTGAAGAAGGGATAGGGGTGATGATGATTTTTTTTCTTTTCCCGCCCTCATGAAATTTAAAACTAAAAAAATAATAGAAATGAAAAACAGAACAAATAAAGAAGATCATAAGTATCCTTGAATGTTTGCGTAATAATGTCATCTCGTCGCACACAGTGAAAAAAGTTTTTAAGCTTAATATTTCACGATACAAAGATTTGTTACATACAGTGGATCAGATGGCAAATGGCTGCTGTAGAAATGACCAATGGATTTGCCTGTCCCTCTCTAACGCACATGTTAGTAAAGGTCATCACCATTGCAATGATTGCAAACAGCAAGGCCACTGTCACTTCAATCTCTGCACGAACGAACATCGTCCTTATCAGACCTAGAAAATAAAACAGAATCCAATTCACTTTTATAGCGAACGCATTGTGTGGTGCTGTAGACGTCTCATTAGATACATATATCCTCAGACAACGTGGACAAAAACCAATCTTATATTGCCGATTGGATGACGGGAGGTGGAAATGGAATATGGCAAATAAACACGGCTATTTTAAGGAAACGTTATATTTTGCGCTGTTGATATTGTTCTATGATAGGTAACAAGCTGCTCACACATTCTTACCTGCTATTGCCGGTACAGCTTCATCTCCAAGCAGCATCTTAGCTACACCCATTTTATCTATTGTAGCCATCATTTGGTTAGCAGTGGCTTCAAAATTGTCTCCGAGAGAAACATATGACCCTCCCCATGTTATCTGTACTGGCATCTTCGGCATTGTTATTTCGAACCCACAGCGCCATATTCCTAGTGAAACACCGAGTCGATAGTCACCAATATTCAATGGTTGTATCCTGGTCGGTTGTGGTGTTGTTAGGCTTCCTGGTAACGCTGTGTCATAATTTCGCGGCTGGATCATCCCAGGCATGGCACTGAGTTTATCACGTAGATCCTTAATATTAGTCAACGACAAGGAGAGTGTGCAGCTTATGAGGTTAGGCACAGAAGCTATAACAATAGTAATGATAACGATGAAAGCCGAGATTAAAAACGAAATCGTCGTTAGTTTGTTCGCCATCTTTCTGTCTGAAAATTAACATAAAACGCAGAATGGATTCCTCACCAAGGCCGGCTCCGATCGATTACACAGAACACGCGTTCTCTAGTGCACCGGACGCATTGCAGACCAGTCACTTCACTACTGTGCTGCTGTAAGAGCGCCCATCGGTGCATTATGAACCGTTGCATGTATTTTCTGTACGTACGCAGTATGCAAGGGTGCCTTTACGTACGCACGTATGTGACTGAGTGCGTACGTGTGTGCGCGTGCATGCGTGCATGTACGTTTGAATCAACATACAACCATCAAAGGTAGCAATTTAATTTAACCGTCACATTAACACATTCATCGATGAACTTTGTCCAAATACTCTTCAAGAACATTGTGCTTCCCATGCAGTCCATTGATGCCCTTAAGCCAAATTGGCACACCATGTTGATTTCAATTAGTTAGGAATATTGTTGTGACATCTATCAAACTTAGATCAACGTCATTTTATAATTGTGTGATAAACAGTCCAAATCAAACATAGTTTCAAGTTAAAGACTTGTTGCGTGTTCAATGTTCTCTTTATCACGTACGCGAACGTGTGTAGTCCTTATATCGCTTTTGAAATTAAAATGGAAAAAGAAATATATAAAAGATGAAAAATATATTTTGTTCTCACAAGATTTTCAGCAGTATTTATAGCCATGAATAATTTGCCGGAAGTAAAGGATAGGCAGGAACTTATTTTTTTTAAAGTACTCAAGACGTATATAACAGGTATGCTATTTTGTCTGCAGATGAAGATATTAACTAATGCGATTAATGTTTGAAGAGATTATATTTCCTGCATGCAAAAGCATCTAGGCTTGCTTGATTAAGAAGGAACCCCTACCTTACCATCATTCAATCTTTCAAGGAAGAAATACTGACTGATCTTACTTCAGTATAGAAATAATTTATTAACGATTAGGATGCGAACCTCCTCCGTTTATATTGGATTCCCGCAACTTCACAAAAATCCATATTAATAGCATTTTATTGTGGGATTTTCTAGATGTTCAGCTAAACAATTCCTTCTTCCATTCTTCGTAATACCAAAGTGATGTTTACTAACGAAGTGGAATTATTGTAATATGCATTTTAAAGAACTTAAAACATCTTAAGACAAACATTCAACATCATCTTCTAAACAAACAACATTTCTACTATAGAGGTATTTTTGCTCTTTGTACATCACTGTATCCCATTCTTTAATTGAAATACAACAACATAATGTAACCTCAACTAACTATTGTCACTTATTTTTCCCGCCACATGTTTCTAATGGCGGCCAATCTCTTGATAAAAATGTTCCTGTAGGTTTGCAACTACAAATCTGGAGAGATTGTTTAATGGTGATCATTTCTCTAATGGGTTTGAAACTGTGGTTGCCAGGGAATGTAAATAAATAGAATACGTACATACAATGTATATACTTCTGACCATTTGTCTTTTGTTATTGACCTATGATATGATAAAATCATGTACGCAAAATGTAAATTTCAGGTTGAAAATTGGAAAGACATCTGCTTTTTAACAAAGTAAAGTTTCAGTGTAGAAACTCGCATTATGTCATCAAATAAAAGTGTCTTATAATGTTAAAATGTGATAATTGATAGCCCCTGCAGAAAATACCGCCCGGTCACATTATACAGATAACTTGCGAACCTCGCGTTTAACTAACAAGATGTTATGTGTATAGTAGAGAGCGCATATTACAGTTAGGCGAGAAAACCAAATGCCATACTCACAGGGACAAACCCTCAATTAAAGAGGGAAAGTGCTGTATTTCCAAGGCATTTCAGACATTGGGTAAAATAGTTGTCAAGAAAGAATAAGAAAAAAAACTAGATCTAATTTTTTACTCCCTATCCTCGGTGAGAAAGAGCTAATGCCTTTAGGGTATGCATGATGCGTGGGTTTTAATGACACATTAAATGATAAAGTAAAAAAAACCGTCATCTCCACCAAAACGAAGATTTCATTCATCATATTGTCAAATAGTCATCCTCCGGATATCTTCTGATACGTGGTTGTTGCAGGCCTGAATCAGGATCAGGATTAACTCCGTTCAGAAATTCAACGGCGCAACCTTTCCAAGTGGATAACAAAATATGGTTCCCATTTGCCTTGGTATTGCATTGAAAAACACGATACACAGTGATACACGATATACTTTATACACGATACAGTAAAAGTTGATACACGATATACTTTATACACGATACAGTGATACACGATATACTTTATACACGATACTATACACAGTGATACATTGATATACTTTATACATCGTTGTCATGTATCATTTTGCAGTATATGTACTGCGGACTTATCAGCAACATCAAACAAAAATTGTTTTGATACACGATATACTTTATACACGATACTATACACAGTGATACACGATATACTTTATACACGATACTATACACAGTGATACACGATATACTTTATACACGATACTATACACAGTGATACACGATATACTTTATACACGATACACAGTGATACACGATATACTTTATACACGATACACAGTGATACACGATATACTTTATACACGATACACAGTGATACACGATATACTTTATACACGATACACAGTGATACACGATATATTTTATACACGATATTATACACAGTGATACATGATATACTTTATACACGATACACAGTGATACACGATATACTTTATACACGATACTATACACAGTGATACACGATATACTTTATACACGATACACAGTGAAACACGTTATTTTTTATATACGATACACAGTGAAACACGTTATACTTTATATACGATACACAGTGATACACGATATACTTTATACACGATACACAGTGATACACGATATACTTTATACACGATACACAGTGATACACGATATACTTTATACACGATACACAGTGATACACGATATACTTTGGTGATACACGATATACTTATACACAGTGATACACGATATACTTTATACACGATACAGTGATACACAGTTATACACGATATACTTTATACACGATACTATACAGTGATACACGATATACTTTATACACGATACATATACGATATACATACACGATACTATACACAGTGATACACGATATACGATACTATACACAGTGATACACGATATACTTTATACACCATACACAGTGATACACGATATACTTCATACACGATACTATACACAGTGATACACGATATACTTTATACACGATACTTTACAAACTGATACACGATATACTTTATACACGATACTATACAGTGATACACGATATACTTTATTATACACGATATATTTTATACACGATATTATACACAGTGATACATGATATACTTTATACACGATACACAGTGATACATGATAAACTTTATACACGATACACAGTGATACACGATATACTTCCAACACGATACTATGCAGTGATACACGATATACTTTATACACGATACTATACACGGTGATACACGATATACTTTATACACAGTGATACACGATATACTTCCAACACGATACTATGCAGTAATACACGATATACTTTATACACGATACACAGTGATACACGATATACTTTATACATGATACTATACACGGTGATACACGATATACTTTATACACGATACACAGTGATACACGATATACTTTATACACGATACACAGTGATACACGATATATTTTATACACGATACACAGTGATACACGATATATTTTATACACGATATACAGTGATACACGATATACTTTATACACGATAACAAGTGATACAAGATATACTTCATACACGATACACAGTGATAAACGATATACTTTATACACGATACACAGTGATACACGATATACTTTATACACGATACTATACACATTGATACAAGATATACTTTATACACAGTGATACACGATATACTTTCAACACGATACTATACAGTGATACACGATATACTTTATACACGATACACAGTGATACACGATATACTTTATACACGATACACAGTGATACACGATATATTTTATACACGATAGTGATATACACGATATACTTTATACACGATACTATACACAGTGATACACGATATACTTTATACACGATACTATACACAGTGATACACGATATACTTTATACACGATACACAGTGATACACGATATACTTTATACACGATACACGGTGATACACGATATACTTTATACACGATACACGGTGATACACGATATACTTTATACATGTAACACAGTGATACACGATATACTTTATACACGATACACAGTGATACACGATATACTTTATACACGATACACGGTGATACACGATATACTTTATACACGATACTATACACAATTATACACGATATACTTTATACACGATACAGTGATACAGTGATACAGTGATACACGATATACTTCATACACGATACTATACACAGTGATACACGATATACTTTATACACGATACTTTACAAACTGATACACGATATACTTTATACAAGATACAGAGTGATACACGATATACTTTATACACGATACACAGTGATACACGATATACTTTATACACGATACACAGTGATACACGATATACTTTATACACGATACAAAGTGATACACGATATATTTTATACACGATACACAGTGATACACGATATACTTTATACACGATACACGATATACTTCCAACACGATACTATGCAGTGATACACGATATACTTTATACACGATACACAGTGATACACGATATAGTGATACACGATATACTTTATACACGATACTTTATACACGATACACAGTGATACACGATATACTTTATACACGATACACAGTGATACACGATATACTTTATACACGATACACAGTGATACACGATATACTTTATACACGATACGATATACTTTATACACGATACACAGTGATACACGATATACTTTATACACGATACACAGTGATACACGGTATACTTTATACACGATACTATACACAGTGATACACGATATACTTTATACACGATACAGTGATACACGATATAGTGATACACGATATACAGTGATACACGATATACTTTATACACGATACAGTGATACACGATATACTTTATACTTTATACACGATACAC